AGATTAAAAGTAAATTACACGTCTTGAACAAATATAACATGTCAGCATGTGAGTAATTATCGTGCATGACGTGGCCACCACATCATGAGCTACGTAGGATTTTGAAAGCAAATATTTTTGACTTTTTGTCGATTTTGATAATAAATAACTGATTAAGGAAGATCCCAACTCAAAAACATTACATCACACGATCAAAATCATCAAATCTAAAATAATCTCACGATCACGTGAAATGTTTCCAAATCCAAAAACAAGTCCCAAAAATTAAAAACCAAGTAGACTCCATTTGTTGACTTGATTGAAGAAACAGAGCAACAAAGTCTTTGTCTTTTTTTTAAGCTCCCTCCGAACCCATATCTCTCAGATGAAGATGAAGCTCTCCGATTGTCCTCAATACCTTAATCGCTTGCGACGGAGTAAGAATCTCCACCACTTTCCCCACCGTAGAACACCGTAGCTGATCGGCGTTGTTCATCGCCGCAGCCATACCGGATTTAAGAACCTCCATCGCTTCCTCCAAACGCGACTCTTCTCCGTCAACCATACCCACCGCACCGACTCGCCTCGCCGCGAGCATCACCGGAGGATCAGCAACGCTCTGTTGCACAAGCGCGAAATCTCGCATCACATCTCTCTCTTTCCTCCTAGTTTCCGACCGGAGAGTCAAGATCCGGTCTTTCTGGTGACGCGTCAGATCTTCCACGGAAGCTTCGGTGAGTTTGAAGACAAGAGAAGGCCTGCAATCTCCGACCCAGAGGATGAGTTTAGCGTAGGAGTTGAACCACGGTGGACAGAAGAAAGTGAAAACGTTGTCTCCGGCGACGGAAACAGAGGCTGATTTCTCTTGGTAGTATTGAAGACAGTGAGATAGAAACTGGGTCACTAAAGAACGTTGCTCTTCGACAGCGATACGGTTAGTTTCATCGAAGGAAGAAGCGCACTTAAGCTGTTCGACGAAATACCTGTGACGAATTAACCAGCCATTAACGAAGCTAGTGAAGCTTTGATAGGTGGTGATTGGCATGTTTTATATATTTTGGAGTAGTCACTAATAAGTATTGAGTGTAGTACAGTGTACAATCGATGATTTGATTTCTATATATACGAGTCTTTGGGCTTGACCAGAAAAACAAAAAAAATTTAGCAATTAATTTAAAATATGTCGGTTCTTCCACGAAAATTACATTTTGTGTCGGCTGACCAAATGGAGTTTTGTGGAGTGAAGTCAGAGATAATCAGTGCGTCTTATCACCATTTCTTACTGTAATTCAAGTCTGGGTTTGAATATAGATTTTTTGTATATATTCAATCTTTGTTATATCAGATTCATATATTTATTTATTTTAACTATTGAATTAAGCTTACAACAATAGAAAATGATCCGATTTATTATGTATGATTTGTAGTACTATTATATCAATAGAGAAAAATCATGAGTCTTTCAAAAAAAAAAAAAAATTCATGAATGATAATTTTTCCGTCTCATATCTGGAATTATGTCAGGGTCGCATCACAGTTTTATGGAATCAACTAAAAATGTAAGTCAAAAGGAAAACGACACATGTTACAAAAGCAAAAGGGCACACGTCATGCAGAGAGACATATGTAAGGAAAGAAACAACATTATTCTGACAATAATAAAACTTATTAGCATTTCGTTTTTATAATTCTGGTTTTTGGTTTATTTGGCGGATTTTTTGTCGACAAGAGAAAAAGAACAACAGTTCATCAATGCCTCCAGTTATGCCGCGAGCTTTCTTTTCTTCTTTCCTAAGAAAAATTCTGTATTAGTTTTTTTAAGTTTTTACAAGTTGTCTTGACTCACGTTTCTTTCGAAAAGATCTTGCCATCAACGTTGGGGCTAGAGCAACCAAGAAATATTATAATCGCTAATGAGATTACAAACAATTCACATTTCTGTTTCTATTATTTGGTATCTAAATTAAGAGGTCTAACTAGTAAGATAAAAAGTATATATTGGTACAAAACAATAGTGTGATTATAAAAAAAAATATGAATAGTAATAAGAGATGGTAATGCAATATAAAAAACAATAGTATTATCTCTCGTAATGTTTTTTTTTTATTATTTCAAAATTAAGTATACAAGAAGTGGTACATGTTTTACCATTGATGGAAGCCAGTACATATGTTTATCATGCAATTAAGTTATGAACAATGCAATTAACAAGATGACAACAAAAGAAAAACATTAAAAACCTAAAATTCAGTATATACTTATGTATATATATTTTTGCATGTGCATAAGAAAAAACATGTAATGGCCAAGAATTCCGAAATTTCTATAATACCTAGTCGTATTAAACGTGTATATAGTGCTAGTTCACTATTTTATGCATGTATATGCAAAGCTGGTCCAGTGATGATGATGGTTCAACAAAATTTCGTCTTTTCTGTTTTATTGTTTCAAATTGAACATTAGTGCTTAAGAATATGAATAGTACTTATTTATAATCTTTATATGAATGTTGACACTTGACAAAAGATAAGAGAATATTAAAGATTGTAAAAACGTGGCGACAAAGATAAAGTGGGTTTTTGTTAACAGGGTGAAAACGTTTGGAGGTGGCACACATGTTTGTTGAGCTATGCGACGCACGGACGCGGATCTTCTCAACTCGATTGCTTTACGCGGCCACGTTTTCGTCATTCACCGCGTTTCTTTTTGCGGCCTTTTACTCTCTCTCAACATTTTTCATATATAATATATTAGTTCTGAAAATTGTCTAAGGCGGTTCTATGAATAAGATCTTTTAAGAAGAGTAAAGAAAGGGCCTTGTTATTATGCATATCTTGTTTTTTTCCTTATTTGGGTTGTTTAGGCTCATTGGTAAAAGGACCACGAGGGTTTTTGTTCACATGGTATTGGGCCTCACTCTATAACAAGCGAAGAGTATGTAAATCTAAATTTGATCAGTTCGACAGATCGCAAACATAATAATTTCAGGCAACCCACTTTTTGAATTTTAAATGCGAAGCTATTGTCTAAAAGTATGCTGTATCCACTTTATAAATATCAAAATGCTTAGATTTTTTTTTTGTTCTTTCTCTAAAGTAGTACTAGTAATAATATTTGTCCGAAAAAGTACTCAAAATGGTTAAGGAGTTCAACAAAAATATCCCAAAATGCTCCAACCCGCTACAATCGCATTTCATTTCATCATACACAAAAAAAATACAGTTGAAATATGGTTTGAAACCATGCAACTACTGAACTATATATGTATGTTCTCAGTTTTTATTAGCCTTTGAGAGGCAGAAACTAAAACTCTCTCAAAACCTAGCTGCCGCAAATTATTTCTTCGACTTGCCTTTCCGGCCTCCGGTGTAGCGGCCGGTGGATTAGCGGAGGCTGCTCTCTCTTTCAGACTTACAGATCTGATAACCTAATTTTTTGGTTTAATCATCATACCGGTTATCCTATTGGGTTATTCCGGTTAAGGCATTGTAATGTTTTATTTAAAATTAACGAAGACCCTTTAACAAACAAAAAAAAAATGTGTATGTTCTCATAAACAAAACAAAAAAAATCTACTGATGAACTACGTATAAATCATGAGAAAGGAAACAAAATGTTGCTACATACTGTTTTTTTTTTCAATCCATCCCAACACTGATTAAACATATCATGATGATCATTACTTGTTCTAAAACTCGCCCGAGTACACGATTCGGCGGCCAATTTTACCGTCGGCGGTGGGTCTGAAAGAGCCGTTGAAGTTGATTGATTCAAATAAAAGCCTAAAGGCTTGGTCTTGGTTTTTGAATAAGTCTCCTCTTTATTAGGAGCATAACTTAGTCTTTGTTTTTGCAAAAATGTAGGAGTCTGTTTCGTTGCATTTCTAGTTGAGTTTGTAATTGATCTATAAAAGGATCTCTCTGTTTTTATTAATGAGTAGGAGAATATTTTCAGTTCAACATTCTTTCTCTGTTTCGAATATAACAAGTGGTATCAGAGCTTGTAGTCTAATCGAATACAAGTTCAATTGAGTGAAAAACTGAAGTGAACACA